AGGTGCTAGAATAATTTTGTTTATTCTGTGACTGTATAGCAGAGTTGAGTTCCTGGGAAAGACTATAAGTGTTTTAAAAATCACTTGATACAGCTTGTATGTTAAGGAAAAATAGGTGTAAGTGAGGAAAGTGCTGTGGTAGCTTTTCACAGCAAGCTTTTCCTGGACTTATTAATGACCAGATACACTGATAATTTTTATGGCTCATTCTGGAATTGTTTCCTCCAATAACTATATTTTCTGCTTATGAATGTATCAGAACTGAAAATTTCTAAAAGGATTCCCAAACATTGTTTGGTAAAAGATGACAAATGCCTTTGCAAACTGCAGCAGTAGGACCTACAGTTTTTAGAACTGATATCTTATGATCCATAGACACAGTTTGTGGGGATTTGACCACCTTGCTTAGAACTGGAGGATTCAAGTATCTTCATGTATTTGTAAGGCCTATTCCAACTTCCAGGATCATTGTGCTTTTTTAAGCTTGTTTTAGTAAAGACCTCTTTCTCATCAGCTGTCTAAATGCCATAGAACAAGAAAAAGGCTTAGAGAAAGTGAAAACAGTATTGAATAAATTTGGGCAGAAATCTGAAAACAGCGGTGGAAATGAGAGCCGTTGATGTAACAGATCATTACAGGATAGGTAATGCTGTAAATGACATCTTTTGCATGTTTTACAAGGGAAACCCAGGGTCTGTGTGGCATCCCCCATTCCCCACCTGAGCAGTAGCACACTGCACTCTGTAACAGCACAGCTCCTGGGGGACTACTAGGACGAACTGAAGCTGAGCACCAGGCCTTGCAGTTCACCTAATGCTCCCAAAGCAAAACAAAGAGGACTCTTGGTTAACAAGTTAGTGTTTTTGTTGGTAAAATTGTGACAACAATCATAAAAATTAAAAATCTTGTTAGGTTGATATAATTTCAGTGTAAAGCATTGATATTAAAAAAAGAAGAAAATAATGAGGAGGAGGGCTACAGTCATTTTAGCATTTGGTTTTATTTTGTACATGGTGGAAATGCTGTGTTTGCCCCCCTGCCCATTTTTTTTCCCTCTAAAGTTTTACTTTGAACTGGATGAAAGCAATCTTTATTGAGAGACATGCTGCATTCTGCATTGGTGAGGTTTTTTTAAGAATGAAAAGCTTCTCTAGCTTTTGTGGGATCCCACTTGAGAGGGATTTTTTATTGACCTGTTTCATAAATAATCCATTTAGTTACTTTGGAATTTTGTTTTGTTTTGTTTTCCTAAGTCACTTTGATATTTCTTTCCAGAGAAAGAATTATGTAGGTAGATGATTTCAAATACCTTTCAGGCTCTTTATTTTTTAAAAGTAGGATCAAAACTGTAGCTGTCAATTTGGTTGCTTCTTAAAATGCGGCGTAGCCGATAATCACTGCTATGAGCTACATATCAAAAATTATAAAGCAAGAGTCAAAAGATACAAGTAACATTATGAAGAGTAACAGAAATCTGAGGGGGTGAATGTTTTTGGTTAACATGGTTGCTCCACCAGTGGAGTTCCATTACTCCATTTTGCATTGATTTTGAGGTGGACTTGCAGCAAGAATCCAGAGCAACCAGTGGTGTTGGCTTCAGCTATCCTTAAGTTCAGCCTCTCCTCAAGGGAGAGGATGGTTAGTATGGCACGACCCCATGCTGCTGGTTGGTGATACAGCCCTGTCAGGAGGTTATGCTGGAATTGTTCTAGCACTTGAAGCATCTTAATAGCAGAAGTTAAGAAGACTCAGAATAGGTCCCAAAATTCTTACAATTGTATACTGATTTTCCAGGCTCTTAAATGACCAACTCCAGAAGTCTGTTGAAGATTTACAGGACAGATTGTCCCTCAAAGAGGATGAACTGCAAACAGCTCATGAAGAAATTATAAAGCTGAAGGAGATAATAGGTAATCTGTAACTATTTTTGTTCTTCTATCTTGTTTTTAAAATAGAAAGCACTTACTCTTTTGTTTTTAGATAGGTTAAACCAGAGGAGCACTTCACAGGATGAAGCAGTCAGTGTGCTGAGAAGTACAATTAGTGTTTTGGACAAAGAAAAGGACAGTCTTCAAGAAACCGTAGATGAAAAAACAGAAAGAATTGCATGCTTAGATGACAACTTAGCTAACAGGGTATGTCCAGTAAAAGTACTACTTTACATTCCATCTGGGGATTTTTTTAGGGAGACATTTTGCCTTGATGCCAAAGTCTGAGTAGAGCACATAAATGGTATGCTTGGACCCAATGCAGAGTCATTTGCCAACTCAATAAAACTTTAATTATGAATGTTACTGTATTCCCTAAATACTCCAAGAAAATAAAGAAGCATTTGTTTGCATTTTGCATGTGGAGGTATTTATTAAGATATAAAGTACTAGCCTGAGGTGACAAAATTTATAGCTGACTACCACTTGTTTGAATGAAAGACAATCCTTTGTTGGTACAGAAAAGAAACTTGGAAATTACTTACTGGTGAAGAATTAAAATAAAGGTTTACGTTAAATGTTCTTTAATTTTTTTTTAATAGGAAAAAACAATTGCTCATTTACGTTTAACTCTCTCTGAGCTGGAGTCCTCAACAGAGTAAGTAAAGAGTAGGATGCCTTCTTTGGAGGTTTTATGTAGTAATTTCAAAGTGAAAGTATTTGAGTTATTTTGATGAAATTGAGTTAATTCCATTTGAGTCAAATTGAGGAGAGTGCTGTGTTGAGAAAGAGGTACACAAGTCTCAAAAACATTTCCTGTGCAATTAGATTGCAGGTGCTAAGAAACTGTTACAACAGTCATTAACAATTGCTTGTCTATATTTATTTCCCTAAACTGGTAACATTTCCTAACTCTTGGTCAAGAGGTAGTTTGCTAGCACTCCACTAGATACTAGATTGACCCAGATTCAGATTCAGAAGCTGAATTCTTAATGATTGGCAATCTAATTTTTCTAGGTTAAGATACCAGTACAGTCTTAATTAAAATGTATTTATGTAGTTTTTAGCTGGGCTTCCTCTCATCTTTCATTCTTTCCTCTTTTTAAGCATGACTTTTTAAACAATAGCAGCTTAAAAGTAAACATTTAAACACCAATATTTAAATATTTGAAGACAAATGTAACTGAATATTTGCTACAATGATGCATGAACTATATGTGACCAAAAAAAATACAAAATATTTATGAATATTTCTATTTCTAATTTTTTGTTTAATATTTTCATTACTCTTTTGATAATTGTCTTTCAAGTGTACATTATTTGTCTTCTTCCTTTATGGCTTATAAAATATGTAATTACCATAATCACTACAAAACACAGATAAACATAGGTATCTGTAATTGCTCTTTGTCTAATAAGATACATCTTACCAGATACATCTTCAAAACTGAAGATTAAATCCATCTGATTTTTGCATATTGACATTTTGCATACATTTTATTTAGACTCAGTTTTTCATCATTCATAGAGCAAGAATTTTACCTGATTATTTTCAGCAGTATGTGGTAAGTACAAGACGGGGCAACTTTGGTAATGTTTTCAATTGATAGCCAGATGCAGGGCATGCTGAGCAACAGAGACCGTGAGATATCCAGCTTACATCGCCAGCTTGATACATCCCAGGTAGAGCTTGCAGAAATGGGAAGGGTAAAGGAAATGGCTCTGAAAGAAAACAGAAGACTGCAAGATGACCTGGCTACAATGGCCAGAGAAAACCAGGTATGAAGACAGTATGTGACACTGATGTATTAAAGCATTCATTGCTTGCTTGCATCAGAACTGCTACATCCTCAGTTTTGATTGATGTGTTTAATTATTGCTATTTCTTGAGGACTGGGATATTGAAAATCACTGGGCAGAAACTGTAAAAGCAGTACTTCAGATACTTAAGTGTAGTCAAAACAGTGAGGGAGAAATAGACAAGCTTTCAGTTTGGTAACCCTTCCTCAGATTAAAAAAGAAATCTAAAATAAATCTAGGACTTTATAATAGAATGAAATTGTTATATCATTTAGCAATTTGTATTTAATTGGTAAAGACTGGGTTTTATTATCTGTGTAAATGATTATTGAGAGAGAGAAAGAAACTCCAAAACCAGACATCAGATTATCAGGTGCAAGTGGAGGCAGCGAAAGGGGATTGGTAGCAGATCTGAATTTGTTCTGGTGTAGTGATTCATTAATTTCATCCATCAACTGTCCATGAAGCATTGGATTTATTGAGTGAGGTGTGCCATATTTGAGATCAGGGTGTTTTGGAGATTAGGGTGTTGGAGGAATGGGTTTTGTGCACCAGCTGGCTATTGCTGACTAAAAAGCCTCCCAGCTCCAAGTGCATGACATGGATGTCCCTGTAGTATAGAATGTCTGTATGGACAACATGTAACAAAAATGTCCAGTGTTTTATAGGGTATGTAACATACTTTATTGGGCTGAACATTAGAAAGTCTATGTAGAAGGTATGTGAGAGTTATCTTAAGAGGAATTTTGTTGCAACTCACTACATTCAAATGCCTTTTACATTTGTGATACCTGTTAACTAAACCATTTATTTTGGTTCCCCTCAGTCAACCTGAGTCAGATGCCAGAAAGTATAATATAGCAACGTGTTTCAAGGAAGTGATGTAGGACCTTGAACAGTTCCTGCAAAACCTATAATACAATATATAAATACATGGATGTATTATTGAAATTAGGCCTGCTCTTCACAGGTGTCTAATAAGATGAAAAATTGAATATTATCATAACACAATGACAAAAGTTTTGCGAGTTTTTGGGAAAGCTACCATAGAGACAAGCAGAGTGATTTTAGCATATGTTAAATGAGTCATATGGTAAAAAGGCTGATGAATAATAATATACCACAAAAAGAAGGGGGGGAAGAAATAAGGCAGCATCCTTTATTTTCCCCACATTTGATCATGGAGATAGAAAAAGGTACTTTCAGTTTTGGCTCTCTGGGCTAGAGGACTCAGAGGGAGATGAGAACTGAACCTGAGAGGGACAGAATTAGGAGTTCAAATATCTCAAACAAATTCCAAGGTGCATTTTTGATGTTTAAATATGATCTCAGTAGTGCATTTAGTTAATTTATCTTGCAGTTGGCTTTCTATTGATCTTAAACTTTCCTTTACGCAGGGATAGTGAATCTTAAGGCTATAAAAATTCCAGCTCTCAAACATCAGTATGTCAAATTTTCCAAAAATCAGTGGGATGTGTCAGAGCTTGAAGATGCAATACGTGAAAAAGAAGAAATGAAAACCAGGGTTCATAATTATATAGCTGAAGTCTCCAGATTTGAGACCTTGATAGCTTCAAAGGTAAAAATGTAATCTCTAGGCAGTCATTACTGCATTCAGTAAAACAAAGTAAGAATTACATGGTTTGGGTACTGTTCTCCCTGCCTGTCCTATTTTCTTTTATTTTTCCTGCTTTTCTCTGCAGTGTTTAAAGCTACTAGTGAGGGATTCATGTAACACCTTGTTAGATCTGAAGCACTGATTAATTATATTAAGTATTCTAATAATTAATATTAATTCTATTAGCTTTTCCATTCTAATATCACAATTTCATCAATCATGTTTCAGTTGGCCATAATGCTGGTGAATGAGAAACATGTCATGTTTGAATGTTATTTTGCTTTTTGGGTTTTGACAGGCAATCAGTAAAGTAACAGGTACTGTTTCATTATTGTGGGCAGCTTATAAAATTATTTTAATTACTTTACCCTTTTGGAAAAGAAAAAAAATTATCTGTTGTTCTGCATGAAAATGTAAAAATAGTACTATTAAAATAGTGCTCTGATTAAATGTA